AATTTTATTCAGTTGTAATGCCTAAACAGAATAATAATGAAGTGGGCCAGCTCTCAACATTAAGCTTTTCTGTAATTTTTTTGGAAAACAGCCTCATTTCAGCTTTCTACAGTAACAGAATCACAGTTCACAATTTGTAGGTATTCTTTATGGCTCATCCGGTAGAGACATCCCTCCACTCTCATCTTTGTCCCTAAATTAAAGCTTAGATTATGTACAGTGATATAAAAATATGCCTTAGAGGGGTTTTCACTTGCTGAGTGTCTGGAAAAGGTTGGGCGCACACAAGGCATTCCATCACATACTAGGTCCCACCTCTGAAGGCTTTAGATCAGCAGGTGGAATTTTGGCTTTGCATGTTAATCCTCCCTGTTTCAGACTAAGGGAAGGGCAAAAAACTTTCAATAGTAAATAGTGCAATGCTCTTCAGAAAAGTTTCTCCACATGGATAGATAAATAAAAAGGGAGAATTAGGTTCCACGCTTCCCCAGAGTGACATAGTGATTCATCTCCCTCACAAGTCTTTCCCAAAACCATACTCACTGTGGGGGTGAAGACAGAAGCAAAACAACTAAAATGGGACAATTTACAGTGGCAATCTTTTTAGCCTGGACAGTACTAGATGTCAAATCCACCAAACCCCAAAGGGCTCACCCTCTAAGCAGACTTTGTGCCAGGTGGTGCCTAGTGAAAGCCTGACCTATGGAGATGACAATAAGCAAGCCAGGAATCTAGAGCTCTTGGCATCCCCCTGACATCACCACTGGCAACCCGACAGAAGGACGATTACATGTCCTTCAAAAAGGAAGCAAATCAGAAGGTTGGCGATTTTTCCCCAGTGGTTTTTTTTTCAATATACCTAACATTTAAAAGGGGATAACAGATGCCCCGGTCCTGCAGGCAATACCATCCACTTCAATGAGAACAGATCAACAGCACAGCAAAGGAACAGACACGTACAATCTTCAGAGATGTGCATTTTCCTTGTGGAGACTAAAAACTATTTATAAAACTTCCAAACTTAAAATCAGCTTAAACCTTAAAAAGAAGATGCATCTCCCCTTCTACTTATTGTTTAAAACTTTCTTCTTGGGTAAGGGAAAAGATGGATTGGGTGAAAACACAACCTTTATGGCTTAAAAGTCTACTGAAGAGGCTCACCTTGCAGGATCAGGAGAGCACAGCAATGCTATCCTAAGCTGCACAGCAACAACTTCCCCCTTTGTTTCATTTCACTAGAACAAATTACACCTAACAGGGACTTTTAGCTTTTAGGTGTATTTAATCCCAAAACTCAAAGTACACCAAAAAAAAAGCTACCAACTTTGGAAACTTCTGACAATTCCTTTCTGTCATTAGGGGGAAAAAAAAAGTAAGAAGTTACAGTTTTTTAAATAGTTCTAAAATGACAAAACAATCAAAACCATAGTTATTGTTTTAAATTAACAAACCAGGTTTTTCTTCACTTCAAACAAACTAATCAGGCTTTTTGGGTTCACATTATAATTATGGTTTCTCTCTCTTATTCCCAAAACCCCTGCATCATGCAGCCTACTCTTCGACAGGTTTCACACAGTTCTAAATACTGTGGATTTAAAATCAAAGATTGGAGGTCTTCACAAGATTCTGTCTCATCAAATTATTTTCATTGTATATCAAAACCTGAGGGAACCGTGGGGATAAGTTTTCATAAGGTCTTTGAGCACAATACATTGGGAGGTTTGGTTGTAAGTCACAAGAGCCCAGAACAAGCATGTCTTCTACAGTGATCTTTGTTTCACATTTAAAAAAGCACTAGGAGATTAAATCTCCCTTTCTGCTAAAACTGTGGGTGGGGTGGCTTTTTGCTTAGGGTAGAGTGGTGGTTTTTTGTTGTTTGGTTTGTTTGCTTTGGTGGGGTATTCTGTTTGGGGGTTTTTGTTTGTTCCTTTTTAATCCTTTTAGGTTCCTTTATGTCATTTCCTCTAAACCTACTAAAGATTTTAAGAAATAAAGGGAATTCAAAGACAGATGATGAAAGTGATTAGAAGCTTAGAAAGACACACATATGAGGAGAGATTATTAAAAAGTCTGCAGCCCTTACTGACAAGATGAATTGGAGGGATCATAAGAGAGACATGGAAAATGAGAAGAGACATTCCACAGAATGTTTTTTCATCAGAAGAAAGCAAGTGGATTTCTGTATTTTTTTTAATGTATGTGTGATCATGTAAGAATTAAATCATCCACAAAACACTAATACTATTGCTAGTCTCACTAAGGCTGAAAGAACAAGAAGATTGAAATTAAGATTCTCTATTTGGTAATAAATAAACCACATCTGTTTCAGGTAATGTGGGGTTTTTTTGTTTTAATAAAGGAAGGATTCTTATAAATTTAAATATGTCTTCCATTAATAAATCAAGAGTTCTGAATAGGTTCCAGTGTGCAAGAAATTACTTAATTGTGACCTTCCTGCATCTCTCTCTAATGCATCTGGCACTTGTTAAAGTATGCTACTGCATAGACTTCTGATGGGATGTGGTAAAGGATCCCATGTGGTTTAGGTATACTAGAAAACGATTTTTCTCCTACATAGCTATACATATAAATTTATAATCCTGATAAAATGTGGAAGATTTTTGTTCGGTAATGGGTAAGAGATCAAGAGTGAAGAGCAATGTCCTGATCAGCAGGAAAAAAAAAAATTGTGTACACAGGTTTCTGAGGTCTAAATAGGATAACCTGGCGAGCACTCAGAGATGATAGCTTTAACAGAGCCTTGAAAGGCAGTCCTGACTTGAAAGAGAAGGGCTGGAGAAGTTCTTTAAAACCTGCCCACCTAAAAACTGGACTCAATAGCCTACGTCATACAGACTATGAGATCCAGCAACTACTTTGACACTTCTCTTTTCCCCAAACCCTACTTACTTTATGTCCTATCCTGCTGACCAAGCCAGCTCCCAGGCGTCCTTCACATAACAAGTCTCCCTAGTCTGTTCAGGTTCTCTGTGCATCCCCGCCACCAGCTCTGTATTGCTGTCTTCATGCACTGTGTTGTTTTCCTCCATTATTGTTGGGAAATGGCAGCTATAACTCCAGCTGCTCTGATGATTTTTATTCTGTCTCTAAACAAAAAATAGCTTTTGCTTTCTTGTCTTTTTTCCTACATAATACCACCGGTTCTTGCTGCTCCAGGGCCTGACCATTTCCATCCCCCTGGTTAAAGCAGTAAGAGAAACATTGAAGTCATCCAGTCAGTTTACACAGGAAAATTTCCTATTTGTCTGGACTAAGGACAAATAGATTTAATGCAAGGCTCTGACAATCATCTGGAACATATAACCTGCTGCTACTACTTTAGCAAGTGTATTACAGGTTTTGTGATATCTGACACAACTTGTCAAACTCTGGAGCATCACAATTACATACAACTCTAAACTTGTACAGAGTTATATTTCCAGTTCTCATGATCACAGGAAGGGAAGGAAAGGCTAATCCTGGTTAAAAGAAATCCTAAATCAGACAGAAGACCAATGCTTTTACAAAATTGTCTTAAACATCAGATTAAAAAAAAAAATTCAATACACAAGTACAATAATCAACATGGCATTATCCATGATGCTTTATGCTTTTAAGTAGATCAACTAGACTACAGAGTAGAGTTTAACTCTTAATATGCCAAATATTACGAAGACATGCAACTTTTCTCCATAGCCACAGTTTGCTAGGTAGCACACTATTCTTACAGCAAGATGAATGAAGGAAAAACTAATCAGTTCAACTTTCAAAGAGAAAACTAAAGGAAATGCATAACATTTTTAACTCCATTATGACTCATATGTGCATCCAGCTTGGACTGTGAAGAGCATTGTAGGCTCCAGAAGTAACTCTACAGAGTATAGGGCTACCTATTTTTAAAACATTTCATTATTCTGAAACAATCTGAAGTATGCCATCTCCTTTCCAGCACTGTCAATTAATGGGCTGGAGGGATGGAAAATACTGCTAATGTGCAGTACAGGAAAATAACCTCCCCTAAAAACCAAAAACCTTTTCCCCTCTCACCTCCCAAAAAAGATCTTCCTTTAACAAATAGCTGATCTTTAGATTTCAAACCAGAAAGCTCATTTATTGCCAGATGCCAGATCTCAGCATAGATAAGAGAATGTCTTCCAATATCTCAAGTCTGCTACAGTAACCTCCTTTTTTTGTATCTTCCTGCAGTGGTTGGGAAGAAAGAGGCAGTTCTTGTACACCTGTTTGAGCTAAGCATTTAGGTAGGATTTTAAATCTGTGCATTAACTAGAAAGTCAAGTGCCTTCATCAACAAGACATTTACCACAAATGCCACTAAATACATGAAAGCATCACAAGCTTTGCCCATACACGTTTATGTTTATATATACATACATCGTATGAACAAAACATCAAAATAATAAGACAAAGAAAGATGAACTTGCCAGCAGACTGTAAGAAGAACTATCCCATAAAGTCATACATCATGGATATACAGTATACTCTTACTTTGTCCCCAGCACACAAGTCCACCTTTTCTGTCAGTTTCCGTCCCTGCCACAGCCCTCTTCTAAATATTCATAAAGGGAATCGTAATCATTCTCTGCTGCCAGATACAATCACCTGCTCCACAGTTTATTAAACAAACCTTGAGAAACAAACCCCAAACTCCGGTATTCACCACTGTGATCTAGACAGAGAGTCACCGCATTAAATCATCAGCGCTGTTGACTTTGGTGAGTAAGTTCTCTATTACTCGTGTCCAACTAGTTTCGACTGTCGATATATCTTAAACATTGGTTTCTATTATGTCAACAGCTGGTTTAATTTAATTTTCCTATACCAAAGAGTAGTCAGAGTAGGAATACGAAAGAAGCACATAGAAAAAAAACTTCCCTATGGATCGCTAACCTAGTAAAACGTGGACACCTCATTGCGCTGCCTCTCAGAGCTCGCACCACCGGGCACCCCGCCACTCTCGCCTCCCTCACTCACAGCCTTACCCTCGTCTTGCGGCGCCGGTGCCGCTCCGGGTCCGAGTAGGTCCTGTCCACGGCCAGCGCCGTGTCGCTGCCCGGCATGGTGCCCGTGCCCCTCGCGCGGCGCCGAACAGCCCCGGCACCGCAGGTGTCCCGCCGAAGGCCGCCCAGCCTCCAGCCCGCCCCGCGCACTGAGGGGGCTCTCGCGCCCGCCGCGTGCGGAGCGCCAGGCACGCCCTCCGGCACGGGCCCTCCGCACGGCCCCTTCCCGCACCGCTCCCCAGCGGCACGCCCCGATTAACCCCTCGGCGCTCCCGCTCCCCCCGCAAGCGCGGAGCCGGGCGGCGGCCGCGCTCTGGCGCCCACCGGGCGGGTCTTGAGGGGGCCGCGGCGGTGGTGTCCCTCTCCTTCGATAAAGGGAGGACGCCTGAAGGGAGAAGAGGGTGGGAGCGAGCTTTAGCCAGAGGGACTGGGCTATAAATCGCTTTGTTTGTTTAAATTTCAAGCCGTATCTGAGGGGACAGCAGAAGGATGGAGGGGTGACAGTCCCGTTCCTCCTGCTGACAGCCGCCAATTTGGTTCAGCTCCAGCTTTTAGAGGGAGTTACCATCAAGCAACCATCTCAACCTCTGTTAAAACAAATCTAGACCCTGTGGCTACAGGGAAACCTCACAAAGCAGAGCAAATCCTAAAGGTTCAGAAGTCCAAAGGGGAAAGAAAGGAGATGCCAGAAGTATTGGGTTGTCATTTTGGGGCAGACTCACTTGGAAGGTGGTAGCATAAAGCACCCTGGGCACTGCTGCTCGAAAGCCCTTGATACCTAGAGGTTTTCGCAATAAACATGTTGTAAAAATCCTACCAAACCAACTAAATAATCAGGGTTTGTATTTTCCAAAGTGGTCAGTGGAGCACAGCAACCAATTCAGTCCCCTTTTCTGCACATTACACAGGTGAGATAAATCCTTCAATGTCCTAGCACACGTGAGCTTCAAACCATATTTGTGAACACTCAAGGAAAACTTGTTTTCCAGGGCATGCGTATGCCAAGGTACTTAAATTCCTAAGAGCTGAGGGGTGTTTCTGCCTGATTTTCACATTTATCTTCAGACTGCCGATGCTGAGGAATGCATTAAGTGACAACACATTTCAACTTACTGAAAAGTGTAAGTAAAGTATTGTTTTATAATCACTCATTAAGTTGTACATGACATGTACTGTTTTCTTTTCTGGAATAAACAGAATACTTGAGTTGCCACCTTTAACTGTTACACAAAGTAAATCTGCAGTTCCTTCAGACCAACTCCTTTGCAATAGCAGCAGGACTTCACCTTTCAGGTACAGTTGTTATGATGCCCATGCATGAAGCACACTGCTTTTCTTCTCTAGCTGGAGACAGCAACAGTCCCAAGGCATGAGCATGTATAAACATACATAAATCAACACAGCTAACTATTCTAGGAGGAGCTTGCAGCTTTAAAAAATATTTCCCTGCCACCGTTTGCATTTTTATTAGAATGACATGTTCTGAGGTAACAGTACTGTCAGAGGTTAATTATCTGACACAAGGGCCTCCTTGGTGTTTTCAAGTAATGAGGTCTTCATAAATGAAAGACCTGAAATTCTAAAATAAAAATAAATACTAGACCTCACCTTCTTGGCAGGTGTTTCTTCTTCAACTCTAACACCAGTTTTAACATAGTTGTCCCAAAGTAAGTAGTGAGTGGGTTTACTAAAGGAAGCACTATTTTCCTACTGTAGTATTCAAAGTAACCAAACTAACACAGAATATTGCACACAAGTGGTGACTTGCCCCCCTTCCTATACTTCTTATGGAGCTGAATGAATTACCAAAAGTTTCTAAGGCTGCTGGAGGAAAAATGGAAATGGAAACTGTTTCTTCAGTCCTTCAGCTCAGACATGAACATTAATTCATGTGCCAGAGGGTGGGGAACTCTGAAGGTAAAGGTGAGTAAAAAATTAAATAGGCAAATTTTGTGGGGTTTGGGGTTTTCACTGAAGTAATAATTGTACATTTCCAAAGGGGATTGTGTAGTTTCCAGCACCTAGGATGAAACATCCTTATTTCCTCAGAAACTTTCAGGCCTTTTTTTTTAAGCCTTGCCAGGTGTAGTTGATCAAAGCATAGAGAGTGTAAGCAGTTGGAAAAGGGACACATAAAAGGCTTCAACTGCTTGGCATTTTAGTAATATAAGGCTTATTATAAATCATACTTCATTCAAAAGTTTAAGAATTTTATTTAAATAATATCAACTTATTTAAATGATACCAGAAGATTAGCCGTGGTGAAACTTCTCTTCAGGATAAAAAGAGGCAGGGATGTGCAAAATATATTTACAGGTAGTATTAACACAGTATATTCACAAAGAAAGCACTCTGTCCTAATGTAGCTTCTAAGAAGAGAGGATAATACAGTTAGTCTCATAAGACCCCAGTGCTGCATTAGTCACACCTTCCAACCAAACCTGTGCATCCATTTGCTTGGGCACTGCTCTCAGCGGTGCATTCCAGCAACAACAGCTCCCGTGTCCTGCACCAGCAGCGAAAGCCCTGGCACTGGGTGGTTCCTGGAGGAGCTGTGACCACAGGAAAACAGGCTGGTGAACCAGGAACAAGTGCTGCACACAGCAGCAAATTGTGGTGGAGGAGAAATAGCTGCTTGGGTAGAGGCACCTGTCCCACAGGTCAAGAGAGCCCTTCCACACAAGCTGAATTAGGAGCCATTGGCATTTTGACAGTCTCTGCAAGTGCCTCATCTCAACAAATGGTTCTTTTCATATGCTGGCGTTAAATGATCTGCATCTTCAGAATGTAAGTTTATGTCAAACTGTGGTGCAATGCAATTCTCTGGCCAAAGGCCCCCTTTATCTTTCCTTCTCACACATGTGCCACTAGGGCCTTCCTGGCCTGAAGCAGGAGCAGAAAAATTCTTATTCTATGGCATAATTGCAGAATACATTTCACTTGGCTTGACTGAGCAAAGACCAATCACCCTCTTCTTGCACACACAGCTGATTTACACAGCTCTCCTTCTCCACCCCAAAAGTCATGATGCCCAGAACATGGCAGAACACTGCACAGCACAGTCCTATTGACAGCTTCACTGAGTACTTTTCTCACTGTTATTTTCCAAAGCTCACAGAGTTTAAATAAATGTTCTTCCCACACACTGCACCTGCTCTCAACAGAACCTTTAGCCCACTAAAGCAAATCCTTCCAGATATTGTCAGGAACATGAGGCTGGAGTCACACACACTGACACAGATAGAAGTGGTAGCCCATATATTAATTCTCTCACCCTTTGTTCTTCTCACAAAGTATTTTAAAAATTAATTTCTAAGGTTTAAATTAATGATAAAAGTGTTAAATCATTCCAGCCATCCATTCTGCCAATTTTAAAGTTCAAATACCTCAAAATCCCTCACTGAGTGCCCAGTTGTAAGTGCTCATCCTTTTCCAGTCCTTTCCCTCACTTCAGCATGCCGCCATGACCCACAATGCTTAACTCTTTGTATTTCCATTATTTTGCCTGCCTTTTCTAAGTGAGCTTTTAAAAAGGAATGCTAATTAGGAACAGAAGGTGTGGTTAAATTTAAGATCACTGTACAAGGGCATACACCACTGCACTTGGCTTTCAGAGGGACAGATCTCAATATTGCATTTGCCTGTATTGTCCTGCTCTGGGAAAATCAAATCTCTGGAGGTGCAGCAGAGGCCTGACAGTTGGAGCCTGAGCTTTCTGATTCCTGTCTCACTCTTCCCTGCAGGAGCTACATCTTTGCCATCTATTTCTTGCTCCATGACCATGTGTCATGCTTGGACAGAAGACACTGCACTTCTACCTGCAAGCCATAAATTATCCATACTGACTTATGCATAGGCCATGGAGGGAGAAGAAGCACCAGTGGCACCAGTGAGATTGCCCAGTAAAACCCAACTCCCCACACAATGTAATCCCATAGTTGATGTTGTAAACACACACACTGGGAAGTATCCCCTCCCCCCCCCAAAAAAAAAAAACAGGGAAACCTTTATAGAGATGGAAGACATAGAAACGCTATCATTAGGAGGCTGGCTCAAGGTTTGGCCCTGCTCCCTTTCCAGTTTTATCATGAATATGGATCTTGGCAATTTACTATACTTCTTTGGATTTCTACTACCTTATCTGTAAAAGGAGAAGCACAGAGTGTCTTTTTCCTGTGGAGAACCTTGAGCTCTTCTGGAATTAAAAGTGTTATTATTAAATATTGTGCTCTGATGTTTGTTGGAAGAAATTAAACACATGATGTCAAGAGTATATTGGCAAAGGTACAATCAGGAAGAAGGCGAAGGTCCCTCTTTCCACAATGGTAGCATCTGTACTCTAAACAGGAAACTGGGACTTCTTTTGAGAGACTTTTTAACTTGCCTCCAAATCTTTTTCCAAAAACCTGTAGCAACCAGCCTCCAGGGAAAGGGTCTATGTGAAAAGAGACTGCTAATGTCATTTCTAAGTCTGACAGCAACTGGGATAGTGCTGAGTAACATCGGTCTTGCAGTTATCCCTGAGTGTGCTGTCATGATTTTCAGTTCATCTGCCAAAGCGTGAGCCTTTCACACCCACAGGAAAGGAGATGCTCCGCTTGTCTGTACACAGCACAGACTACCAAGCCATCACACTGAGACTTACAGATTGCATTGCCAAGCTGTGATGTGCATTCAGAAGATGTTGATAAACATTCAGATATAAAGCTAAAAGTTTAAGTCAACCCCTTTCCTCCCCTGTCCACTCTTGATTAGGAAATATTTCATGTGCTTTCAGAATAGAATAGCTCAGGATACTCTGTGAGAATGCATTTTCTACAGAGTAAAACTGAAAAATGAAGACTTGTCATTGTGTATTAGTGAGATGCATTGATAGGGGGTAAAGTATAGAGAAGCAAGTGAAAATTTCCAGGTAAGAGTAACAAAAGTTGTCCTTCTTCCTCCCTTCCCCTGCCTACTATACTGTGTCTGTTGCTGTGTGATGAGAGGCTATTTCAAGCTCTTTCCTCATTCTCATACAGATTAGTAAAATTCTGCTACATAATTCCTTACTGCTGCAGCTGAGTGACAGTGATAGTGTA